TCCAGACTCTTAATGTTATTTTCGTGGGGCATCTTGATTCCTTCAGTTTTCACTATTTTTCCTTGTTTGATAGTAAGTGTGGCACATTTGTCCAAGCCAAACTCCATTACAATATCTTGGCTATATATACGGACAGTGTTGAGCAGCGATTCTATTTCAGATGATGTTTTTCCATACAGCTTCAGATCATCCATGTAAAGGAGGTGGGATAGTCTGGCAGATGTTTTTGATGTTTGATAGCCATGTCCTGAGTTATTCAGTATTGTTGACAGAGGAAACAGTGCAATAACAAATAGTAATGGTGATAATGAATCTCCTTGAAATATTCCTCTCTTGATATTAACCTCTCCCAGCCTCTCACCATTGATCTGCAACTGTGTCTTCCATTGTGCCATCGATCTTTGCACAAATTTTCTGATGTTTCTACTGACTCCTGTTATTTCTAGGCACTTTATTATCCAATCATGTGGCAGAGAGTCAAATGCCTTTTTGTAGTCAATCCATGCCACATTCAGGTTGGTCTTCCTTCTCTTGCAGTTTTCCAAGATCATTTTGTCTATTAGGAGTTGATCTTTGTTCCTCTGCTATTGGGGCGGTTTCCTTTCTGCTCAGGTGGAAAGAGATTGTTTTCAACTAGATGCTGTTGCACTGCATCAGCTACTACACCAGTTAGTAATTTGAAAGTTGTTGGTAAGCAGGTAATTGGCCTGTAGTTACCTGGTGTTGCCCCTTTTGCTGGATTTTTCATTATTAGGTAGGTTTTCCCAGTTGTTAGCCACTTTTCAATTTCTCCTCCTTGTAGTATATTGTTGAACTGTTTGGCAATGAGTGGGTGTATAACAGTTAGATGTTTCAACCAAAACCCATGCAGTTCATCTTCACCTGGTGCTGACCAATTTTTGATTTTCTTTGCTCTTTTTTCTACCATTTTTGTTGTTATTACTAGTTCTTTCATTTCAACTTCTGTTTTATTTGCATCCACCTCTTTTAACCAAGCCGCATCCTTGTTGTATTTCTTTGGGTTATCCCATATCTGCTTCCAGAACTGCACTGTTTCTTCCTTGTCAGGTACTGACTGATTCTTGCAGTTTCTCCATTGATGGATTGGTAGAAACGTTTCTGATTGGATTGAAATTGGAGGTTCTGCCTATAGTTTGCAATTCGAGCTTCATATCTACTGATTTTCCTGGCTATAGCTGTTATTTGTTGCTTTATTATTTCCAGTGCTTCCTTGATCTTCCTTGTTTCTAAGTGGTATTTCTTGATTAGGTATTCTTTGGTCTTCTTGTTCTTCAGCTTCTTTTCTTTCATCTGTTCTAGCTTGCTTGCATGTGATCTTAACTTGCTGATCTTATTTTCTAGTCTAACCTTCCATTTTTCTGGTGCACTGTTTGTTTGTTTTTCTTCTTTGTTGATTTTGCATCCCAGGTATTCTGTTATAACTGCAGCTGTGCTGTACATTAGTTGGTTTGTTTCTTGCAGTGAATTGGTGCTTATACTTGATATTGCAATATTTGCATCTTTTAATGCTTGTGCTAGCTGTTTCTTTGGAACAAGCTTCAATGCAGGTAGCCTTATTCTGTTGTTTTTGTGCTGTTCTAGATGCTCATTATTCTTTGTTTCAATTCTTTTATTTCTTTAGTTAGAGGGTTTTGTTCTTCCTGAGGAAGAGGTGCCTGGTTTCCAAATGAGAACAGTTGTATATCTCTGCTGGATTCCTTCACTGCCAACTCCCCCTGGTTTGCCTCTACATTCTGAATTACTTCTGGTAAGGCTTTGATTTCTTTGCCCTGGGTAAACCTTTGCAGTTCGTCCAATTCTGTTTCTGTGAATACTTTATTTCGTGTTATAAATCGGCGTTGATCTGCTAGTCTCTGTTCTGTTATTTCTGATTCTGGATGTTGTTCTTTCCAGAATTGGTGCATTCGTTTTAGATATCCTCTTCTTGTTGGACTTGATCTGTAGTAACAGATCATTATTTCTTTGTTTTCCATCACTGTGTATCTGCGACGGGTAAACACCTTTTCTTCCAGTAGTTCTGCAGCTGCTGGCCCTGGTTGCTCAGCCAACAGTCCTGAGTCCTGTAACCCATTTTTCACCAGATATCCAGGAACTCCAATATCTAGTGCGGACCTTGTTAACCCGGGCGACGTCCGAGCCGGTATGGCATTCTGCAATTTACGTCTCACCATATTTTTTATGGGAGAGACACTCTTTGTCTGACTCCTCTGATGAGACCTGTCCAGTATGGTTGAACCTCTGGCATAGCTCTCATCTTCCTCAGAGTACACAAGCCCCACAACCACGTCAAGGTAGTGCCTCACTGGGGGTTATTATTATTATTATTATTATTATTATTATTATTATTATTAGTGCCTCACTGGGGGTTATTATTATTATTATTATTATTATTATTATTATTATTATTATTATTAGTTGGTCTTTGCAGGGCAGACTCTTCCAGGGGTCCTGAGGGTTGATGTAAAATACAGATAGTCCTCAACTTACAACACTTCGTTTCAAAGTTACAATGGCACTGGAAAAAGGGACTTATGACCGTTTTTCACACTTACGACCATTGCGGCATCCCCATAGTCATGGGATCAAAATTCAGACGCGTGGCAACTGACTCGCATTTATGACGGTTGCAGTGTCCTGGGGTCATGAGATCCCCTTTTGTGACCTTCTGACAAGCGCAGTCATATTAACTTAAAACCATGTTACTAACTGAACAGAATTACAGAACAGAATAGAAAGGACCTTGGAGGTCTTCTAGTCCAACCCCCTGCTCAAGCAGGAGACCCTATACCAGGGGTAGGCAATCTTGGCTCTTTTATGACTCGTGGAGTTCAATTCCCAGAATTCCTGAGCCAGCCATGCTGAGGGGAAAGGGAGAGTTTCCAAGCTGAGCCATGGTGGCTCAGGAATTCTGGGAGTTGAAGTCCACGAGTCATAAAAGAGCCAAGATTGCCTACCCCTGCCCTGTACCATTTTAGACAAATGGTTGTCCAATTTCTTCTTAAAAACCTCCAGTAATGGAGCACCCACAGCTTCTGGAGGCAAGCTGTTCCACTGGTTAATTGTTCCCACTGTTAAGGAAATGTCTCCTTAGTTCTAGGCTGGTCCCCTTCTTGATTAGTCTTCATCCATTGTTTCTTGTCTTGCCTTCTGATGCTTTGGAGAATAGGTTGACTCCTTCTTCTTTATGGCAACCCCGTAGATATTGGAACACTGCTATATGGTCACCCCTGCAGGGATTCACTTAGCAACATTTGCGGAAAGGTCATAAAATGGGCTCAGACTCACTTAACAACTGTCTGACTTAACAATGGAAATGTTGGGCTCAGTTGTCAATTTTTTTATATACAGTAATGACCATAATGACAGGCTCCATTACAGTTCTGAATCAAGGAGTTCCTGTACTGTTTTTTTTTTTTAATCTATCGTTATCTTACTACATGGTATCTTGAAAATAGGCTAACTTTCAACTTCTATTTTTCTTCTGATAGTTTCAAGTCAAGAGGAAGGAGCAACCGCATGAGGATTTGCAGACAAAAAGTCTTATTTTAACACAAAGCTGATGTAGATGAACATTCTGTGCGGTTTTGATCCGTATCTGTTCTTGCCAGAGATACCTCTCCAGAAATATCATCATTTTAACTAATTTGAACTTGGCTCTTTGAAACATTCCCGTTAAATCCCCCTAGATTTTTGCTCAAATTGAAAAAGAAACAAGAGAGAAGAGGCTGCAAAGATTCCTGGAGAAATAATTTTATATATACAAGGTTTTTCCCCATCTAGCCAAGAGTTTCAAACTTCTTGAAGTAGAAATTGATGGCTACTACTGTTTTCTCTACTTCTCCACCAAGGAAGAATCTATTTCAGTAATGGTGATGATGAATTGCAAAGTTGGCTTGCCCTGTCAGAAGTAAATGGATATATTTTAAAATGGTCTTATGAGCTCAAACCTTACACAAGTTGGATATTTTTCATAATCTATGAACATGATGATGTCTACACATCATCTAGTTTTACAGTCATGGATTCCTTTAAAGCAGTAGTTCTCAATCTGTGGTTCAGGACCCCATTTGGGGTCGAACGACCATTTCACGGGGGTCGCCAAACAAGGCTGTCTACCATTTTTTCCCCCTTTTCTTTGGCCACGTCCCTGGCACCCGGTGATGTATAAGTGGTTGGGGGTCACCACAACATGGGGAACTGTATTATGGGGTCGCGGCATTAGAAAGGTTGAGAACCACTGCTTTAAAGAATTCTAGAATGTACAGTTAGATACAGAATAACAAAGTTGAAAAAAACTTGGAGGTCTTCTAGTCCAACCCCCTGCTCAGGCAGGAAACCCTATACCATTTCAGACAAATAGTTGTCCAATCTCTTCTTAAAAACCTCTAGTGTTGGAGCACCACAACTTCTGGAGACAAACTGTTCCATTGGTTGATTGTTCACACTATCAGGAAATTTCCCCTTGGTTCTAATTTGGTTCTCTCCATTAGCTTCCATCCGTTGCTTCTTGTCCTGCTTTCAGGCACTTTGGAGAATAGCTTGACTCCCTCTTCTATATGGTAGCCCTAACCATAAGAATTTCTTCTTAGCTGACCTTTCAGTTACATTTCCTAGGATCAGTGGTGGGATTCAAATATGTGACCAACCAGTTCTCTATGTCGATGCCACTTCCAGAAGTCCATTCTGGGCCTGGGCAACAAAAAATTAGCTACTGGTTCTGCCGAAGTGGTGCGAACTGGCTGAATCCCACCACTGCTTAGGACTCTCTAGAGATATACACCATCTACAAAATCCATTTTTAGGTCCATCGTGCAGAAGTGACCACCGTTCAAATATGCTGAAGTCAGATCGTTTAAAATCCTAGGTGGAAATTGTGACACTTCCAATGGTGACCCTGTTGTTGCTATGCTTTGATGTTGGCCACTGTGATGTCATAAATATGTAACATCATCTTTTGTATACACAGCATTCTCCAGAAGAAAATGGAGACTTTTTTGTCTCTGTTTAAAGTACTTCTTCTAGTACTGAGATCCAGAGCTGATGAGAGAATTTAGCCAGCGGAATGGAATTTCTTCAATCTGTAAGTGTGTGTGTGTGTGTGTTTGTTTACAACAAGGTAGAGTTTTTAATACTGCATAAAGTTGCAGAAGGTGCTTGCTCGCTGTTCTAGGAAATCTATTCCCGTGTCAAGTATGTGTGTAATGTTGGGACACAGTTTTAATTAGGGGAGAATTGATTTTGGAACCCACAAACTAGGATGAAGATGCCCTTGGTTAGATAGATTAAAAGGGTGCAGAATGTATTTATTAGGAAGGAGGAAAAAAATCAGAAAAAAAATTGCAATTGCTTAAAATGAAAATAAATTGCTATCAACGTTGTCAACAAGCAAAAAGTGTCTGTGAAAGGAAAGAAAGAAAAACAGAACAAGAATAACTTCTCTGTTTGAGTTAAGTTTGTGTCCTAGTGAGAGGTTGGACATAAAAGAGTGTGCATGCTTTGAAAATGATTAGGGACAAGTATTTGAAGTACTTGTTCTCCAGGAAAGCACTTAGTTCTCCCTTCCCTAATTTTCTGAAGTTTGCCACAAAGTAAGCAACAAAATAATATTCCAAGACACCTGAAGGCAGAACCAATATCTAAGGGACTTCCGCAAAGAGGAGGGGGTTGACCTATTCTTCAAAGCACCTGAAGGCAGGATAAGAAGCAATGAATGGAAACTAACTGAGGAGAGAAGCAGCCTGGAACTAAGGAGGAATTTCCTGTCAATAAGAACAATTAATCAATGGGATGACTTCCCTCCAGAAGTTGGGAGTGTTTTATCACTGGAGGCTTTTAAGAAGAGATTGGACAACCATTTGTCCAGAACGTTGTAGGGCAGTCATGTCAAACACAAGGCCCGGGGGCCGGATGCGGCCTGCGAAGTGGTTTCATGCGGCCCGTGAAGCCATCCTGGAAACAGTGAGGGAACGGCCCCCGTTGTCTTGTCCCTGGCCCAGGCCAGCCGGGAGCCAATGTACAATTTTGTGGTGGCCATCTATGCTGAAACGCATTCAGTCTTAGCTCCACAAGGCTGTTTGGAAACAGCGAGGAACCAGGAGAACCTTGAGCAGCAGCCTTGAGGAAGTGGGGCTGGGCTTGGTGCCGCGGGTGCTCAAGGGCCAGGCTGGGCATTTGACCTCTGCTGCCCAGGGCTCTGGGCAGCCCCCACCACCATCCAGCCCCCCCCCCCCACATGGCCTGAGAGGAACAGTGAGGCTCCTCCAGTGGACCATACCTTGGCGCTTGCCCTGGTCCCACCCCCTTCTGCCAGAGACCCTCAGATCTGTCCCACTCCTGCCCAGACCCCCACAGGCACCCTTGACACAAACGATGTAGAGCTGGCCATGCCCACCCAGTAGGCCACATCTACCTTTGCCACACCCACCCAGCCCTCTGAAGGCAACTGCAATGCTGATGCGGCCCTCAATGAAATTGAGTTTGACATCTCTGGTGTAGGGTCTCCTGCTTGAGAAATGGATAGTACTAGATTGTACTCCAAGTTCCCTTCCAACTCTGTTATTCTCTTAATACCTCTAAGATTTTTATATTGCTTAGCGCCAAGTTGTACTGAAATCAAGACATTTATGTAAAGGAAATAGAATGGCATTTTGAGAAAAAAAAATAGAAGACGCCGTTTTGATTTATTTCTTTTTAACGCTAGAGTAATTTTGGCTTCTCACTCAGCAGGATGTCCTGCTGGTGATGTATTTGATGGAACGGTGTGTCCTGCTGGGCAGGAGAAGAACACCGTGAGCTGAATTGTGACAAATAGGGACCATTTCTTTGTCTGTTCTTGAGGAGCCGGTTAAGTGTGCTTGGATGCTCCTGATGTGGCTGTTAAAGTAGCTGCAATCGTACAATGAAGCCCTTGGCATATATTCCATCAGAACAGAGCTGGAAGGGATCTTGGAGGTATTCTAGTCCAGTGTTTCCCAAACTTGACAATTTTAAGGCATGTGGACTTCAAACTCCCAGAATTCCACAGCCAGCGTTGCTGGCTGTGGAATTCTGGGAGTTGAAGTCCACATGCCTTAAAATTGTCAAGTTTGGGAAACACTGTTCTAGTCCAACCCCTTGCTCAACCAGGAGACCCTATACCATTTCAGACAAATGGTTTTCCAATCTCTTCTTAAAAACCTCCAGTGATGGAGCACCCACAACTTCTGAAGGCAAGTTGTTCCATTGGTTAATTGTGCTCACTGTTAGGAAGTTTTTTCCTTAATTCCAGGTTGCTTCTCTCCTTGATTACTTTCCATCCACTGCTTCTTGTCTTGCCTTCTGGTGATTTGGAGAATAAGTTGACCCCCTCTTCTTTGTGGCAGCCCCTCAGATTCTAAAATACTGCTATTATGTCACCCCCTAGTCCTTCTTTTCTCTAGACTAGCCATACCTAATTTATACTGAGGCTGGATATTGTGTATTATGTGGGTCTGATGCATAAATGCATGGTTGACACAATATATGTAGCTACAGGGGCAAAAGAACCTATTTTTGATGATGATGATGGTGATGATGATGATAGAACAGAACAGAACAGAACAGATCAGATTAGAATGTGGGAATGGGATGGGATGGGATGATGGGACAGGATGGGACAGGACGGAATGGAATGGAATGGAACAGCACAGAACAGAATAGAACTGGAAGGGACCTTGGAGGTCTTCTAGTCCAGCCCCCTGCTCAAGCAGGAGAACCTATACCATTTCTGATTAGTAACTGTTTAGTCTCTTCTTATAAAATCTCCAGTGATGGAGCGCCCACGATTTCTGGAGGCAAGCTGTTCCACTGGCTAATTGTCCTCACTGTTAGGAAGTTTCTCCTTAGTTCCAGGTTGCTTCTCTCTTTAATTAGTTTCCAACCATTATTTCTTGGTGTTTCTTGATGATGATGTTTTCTGTTCAGTCGTGTCTGATTCTTGACGATTCTATGGGCCAGGTCTCTCCACATCTTCCAATCTTCTATTTCTTTGAGTTGTTCTATGTTCTGGCTGGTGCCAGCTTTGATGGTGTTCAACCACCCTGTTCTTTGGTGGCCAGGCTTTAGCGCTAACTCTTCCAAGCATAATTGCTTTCTCCAGTGAATTGCCCCGCATGACATGGCCAAAATAAGTGAGACCCAGTTTTGTAATTTTGTCTTCCAGTGACATTTCTGGTGTTAGGTGCTCCATGACTTGCTTGTTGGTCCCTTTTGCTGCCCAAGGAATAGAAATCCAGCACCACTGCTCAAAAGGAGTTGATTTTCTTCCTTTCCTGTTGTCTCCAAGATGCTTCCCCCCCCCTTTTTTTTTTCAAAAGGCAACTGGACGACCGTATTTTCCCATCTATAAGACGCACCCTTGTATAAGACGCTGTGGCTTGCGAGTTCCAAGCTTACATCAAATAAAGTCAGCGCTGGGAGCAACCGCCACCCAGCACTCTAAATAGACGCCTTCCGGCCGGCCTCAACCCCACCCACCTAACCAATATCTGGCACAATGAGCATGTATAGTCGGTTCACAGCAGCAGCCTTCCGGCCCTGGTAAACAAACCGGTGTGAGCACCGGCATGACAGCAAGGCAAAGGAAGTGAAGGCAGTTTTTAAACTCCCCGCCGTTTCTCCGCGCCAATTGGCAGAGCGCCGAACAGCTGAGCCGGCAAATCCAGAAGTTTAGCCGGCCGAAGATCTTGCCCCCTCCTGCCTCCCATTATTGGCAAGCCCACAGGACCTTGACCCCTGCACAAGACGGCATGGCAGCGGCATGTAAAGGACCCACACAGGCATGGCCTGGGCTACGGAGGTTACCATTATTTTTCCGTGTATAAGACGCTGCCCTTGTATAAGACACACCTGATTTTTGAACGGGGTGTTTGCATGGGAAAATAGCACAGAAAAATACGATATGTTTTTTCCTTGAGGAAGAAGACATTTTGCTTCTCATCCAATAATAATAATAATAATAATAACAACAACAACAACAACCCCCTGCTCAGGCAGGATCTAGTCCAACCCCCTGCTCAGGCAGAAAACCCTATACCATTTCAGACAAATGACTGCCCAGTCTCTTCTTAAAAACTTCTACTGTTGGAGCATTCACCACTTCTGGAGGCAGGTTGTTCCACTGGTTAATTGTTCTAACTGTCAGGAAGTTTCTCCTTAGTTCTAGGTTGCTTCTCTCCTTGATTAGTTTCCATCCATTGCTTCTTGTCCTGCCTTCAGACGCCTTGGAAAATAGCTTGACTTCCTCTTCTTTGTGGCAGCCCCTGAGATACTGGAACACTGCTATCATGTCCCCCCTCGTCCTTCTCTTCATTAATCTAAACATACCCAATTCCAGCAGCCTTTCCTTATATGCTTTAGCCTCCAGTCCCCTGATCAACTTTGTTGCTCTTGTCAGCACTCTTTCTAGAGTCTCAACATCTTTTTTACATCGTGGTGACCAAAACTGGATGCAGTATTCCAAGTGTGGCCTTACCAAGGCGTTGTAAAGTGGTATTAATACTCTACATGATCTTGATTCTATCCCTCTATTGATGCAGCCCAGCACTGTGTTGGCCTTTTTGGCAGCTGCAGCACACTGCTGGCTCCTATTTAAGTGATTGTCCACTAGGACTCCGAGGTCCCTCTGACAGTTATTGCTATTGAGCAAGGTACCCCCTAAGAAGCTTCATCAGTTCTGACTGGATGGTGGGGAGGATGGATGGTCAGGACCTCTGCGGCTAAAGCCGGCAACATTTTAGATTGCAATCTTCTCTCCTTCCTAGCAGATTCTCCAGGCGTGAGAAACAATGATTCTCTTCTTCTATTTTGTCCCTTTTGGAGAGTGTGTGAGTTAAAGCAAAACCACACTGAATATGCAACAGGCGATGAAACAGACTGAGCAACACGTTCGCAAAGAACTCTTTATTTAAGGACCCTCTCTATCACCCGGCATCATAAATATGTAAAATGCCTTTAAAAAAACCCACAACAGCTGTGCATATTGTTGATTATGGGATCAAACGTTGGCTTGAAAAAGACCTTTAAAAAAAAGCAATCGAAACATTTAAAATCAAAACCATTCAG